ACTGCCAATCAAAAATTTCCATTACGCGCCTCGTCCCGAGAGAACTTGACGAACTTGTGACGAAACTTCACACATCCTTCGTTGAAAAATATTACAAGTGTAATTTTTCCTCGGAAAAAACGACATCCTCCTGAGTAATGTATCGATTATGCTTCGCGGCATTTCGGAACATCTACATTTTCTCTCGCGAGATATATATAAAGTTGCATGTTCTTTTACGAAATGTGCCAAATTATTTGTCCCAATATCCAAGACGTATCGATAAACCAGATTCACAATGTTCAGTTTCGTTTTAAAATAAAAATAAATTATTTATCGACTGAAATGAGGATGAATTATACACAAATCAATAAATAAATTTCCGCATCCAAACATATCCGAATTGTAAAAGCAGGAGTAAAATTTCGCTTCGAAATGAATTCATTTAATTACGGTGGATGCGCTTTACGCCAGACAAAACGGTTTAGCGGAAATTTAATTTCAATCAATAGCGCTCCATTGTTCGTTTCTTTCAAGTTTTGTTTCCCTCGCATTGCGAAAATAGTTTCCGCGTTAAAATTAGCTTTTATATAAATCTAATTCTTCCCATTAAAGTTTCTTCGTATTAACCAATGCATCTTCCTTTTAAGATAAATATTACATGCATTGTCTATAAAAGTATAAAAATCTGCTGTTGTATCGCTGTCGCGCAAAATGGCAGTATCTTGTACGCACTCGTGTCATCTTCCGCCAATGCCGATCCAGGCTTTCCATGTTGAAAATGGCGAGAGTGCTCGTTCGCGATCTTTGTCCTTTTTCTTCGGCGTATTGCTCTCGACAAAGTTTTCCAGGCATTCGCACGACGACGCAGTGCTAAGTTCCTCTTGTTCCTACCAGAAGCTTCCGAGTTTCGAGTATACTCGGCGAAGTTTAACCTGTAGCATCGATTTTCCTATTTATGCTTTGATACGGTCACTGCACGAATCCGATGCCGTCTGGCCATTTGTAACCCTATCCATGTAACATATACGTTCGATGCGGTGCGCGTATATCTCGCATTCGATCGCGTAATTACGAACTTCAAAACGTATTGCTTGTCAGATCGAGGAGGATTTATTACGTATAAAATACGTGGTTACCGCAGCGGAAACCGCTGGAAATAATTCCAACTAATAAATAAATCAGATAAAGAAATATGCTTTCAAAAATGCATTCCTTTACAGATCTATGTAATAATTCGAGAAAGAATTTTAAATACCTCACAATAGAAATATCTATTTGTTAGACATTATCCGATTTTTTTACAACTTTGCAAAATTTATGAATCTTAGGATTTAAAATATTTATCTATTAATGCCGAATAATGATTTGTAATGACGTTTATCATTACGATGATTATATATGAACATGTTGCATCATACAGTTAATCTTTTCGGCTTTAATAACGTGCTCTCTGCATTTCATATAGAGTCAAGAACAGACACGAAAAGCGTTGGATTTAATCCGCGTATGCGTAAACGATTAAATAAGATTTACCGGCGGTGCGGTCGAAAAATCATTCGGGTCGCTGCACGCGCCTCGTGCGCGCCGCGCAACGCCGAGCCCGCAATATCGGAGCTTTTAATTGAAAACGCGTGTTACCGTGTTTTCCAGGGATTTCCCGGATTCCGGAATAATAACGCGGCTCATCGGCGCCCGATAATTATTTCGCACTCGACCCGGTTATCGGCTCGAAAATTCGCGCTAATTCCGCTCACGTGGCCCTCTCCACAAATGACGCTCGCTCCATTGGTCGGATCCTCGTTAACCCGGAAATTGCGCCTCGAAACACCGTTTCTCTAATCCCTCTGCCCGCCCGTCCGCCGCACCGGAACGACAATTATCGACGGGAGTAGAAAGGAAGGGTTAATCTAATGGCTCGCGATCTTCGAAAGGCAGTCACCGTAATTGTAATCGGCCGGTCAGCAGCCGACATTTTACCAAATTCCATTTCTCCAAGTGATAACTTGTTGTCCCGGATTATAATTTTATTCTATATTAGTTATTATAATTGTGCGGCAAAAAATTTCAACAAAATTAAATGTACTATAATGTATAGATACTGTTAATTGCGCAAATAAAACGCATATTTATATTCAGTAATCTTTTCTCTCCATCTGTGAGAAAAGAAAGTCTGCGACTTGGACGCGACCAGAGCAGCGACATCATAATCTTAATATATTATTTATCAGACAAGGATGAAAATTTTGTAAAAAGATAATCGTGAAAGATATTTGAGAAATTCAAGTCACAGACGGCCGGGAGTTTCGAGTCTAACGATGTTAATAAAGCGCATTTAAACTTCGCAAATTACGTTGGACGCGCATAGATATATTCCCTGAGATCCTTTGCGATCTTGTAGAGCTTAAAAGCCAGCCATGAGTTTGCCGTCGCGCCGCCGTCGGTTACCGAAAAGCTCCCGTCGTTACTTGCTTAAAATTTCATGGGGCTAACTGTAATAAAAATACCTTCTCGCGAAGAACTTAACTCTTGAAAATAACCGGTTCCTCGAAATCAATAACGCCCGGCAACACATTCGCGAGTATAGTATCGAATTATTATACGAAATTCGCGTTTTTTTTTATTATTATGAAAGCTTTTTACAATTTATATTGAATTTTTAACATTTTAAATGTCAAAGAAATGTTTGCGTTTTCACAGCTAGCATTAAGCAAAACTAATCGCGCTTTTCTAAGCTAACTTTGCGCACATTTCGTTCCGTATCTAAGAAATCCCTCGCTTTAGGAGCTTCCTTGATCCAAGACCGAATCCCTCAGAAGAGATCTCCACGTCTTTTTTCCATCCCTTTCTCTCTTTTTAATAGGCTGACCGGTAGAGGGTACGCATGACCACGCGATTAGGTGACCCTTCTGTACTCTGTGCGCTTCGGCGATCACGCACGAGCGGTAGTCCTGCTTAATCTCGCGGAGATAAATAAGAGATCGTGTGCGGGAGAGGAACAGATCGGCAACAGGAGGGTGGAAACACGTTTCGGCTCTCCTCGTCCCAGGCCAAAACGAGCATCACGTTTTCGCGCTCTACGTCCCGGGAATTCGGACCATTACCAGACGGAGATATTGTACAGCCCGCGGAAAACGATGCTGAATTTACTACAACCGAACAGATGGCCGTCTTTTTTCCCTTTTCGTCCCAATCGTCCAGTCGGACGGCCTACCGCGAACAAAATTAAACGGAAATGTGCGTTTTTCCTTTCTTTCGATCGCTGTCGTTGTCGGTGCGCCTGATACACTAATAACGCGACTGTGCAAGTGAGCCGAATGAACTTTTTTAACGATTGATTAGCTTGAGATTACAACAGAGTAAAAAATTGTGCAAAAACGATTTCATTAACAAAAATTCAAAGAATGTTTTTAAATTTCGAAATTGCGCGAATACTTTTCAAAATTTACGACTATTTTGGATTAAACTTTTTCTTATTATTATTATTAAACTACGTTTTATTATTAAGTCTATTAATTAACAATTCTTAATTAAAAATGTTCCGTGTACAACATAGCAGCCTCTTTTCATATCCGGAATAAATAAGTAGTTGAGGGTAATTCAGTAATTTTAAAGGATATATGAAGGGTTTCGCAATTAGATGCAAAAGTGGAAAAGTTTAACTCGGTGTACGTAATTTACACCGCGGTCGTAGAGGTAATAAAGTTCTGAATTTTTACCAGCATTTCACAGAATCCCTTAAATCCATGCGAAGCGTTTTGAAGAGCACGAGTTTATAGAATGGCGAAATTTAACGAGCACTACTTGTGAACATTTTCGTCGTTACATAAACGCGTACCGTTACAACATGCACGACGTACAACACCACGGACTCTCCCCAAAACTAACTTTCAAGCCTGAGAGCCGCAGTGTACTTTTTCCAAAGAAAAAAGATGAAAAAGTGAAACTTCTATCCTCCAAAATCTCTGCTGCATTATTGTCAATGAGCAAGTAGAATGTACGGACTTACTACTTCCTAGAATCCCGATATCCTTCCGCGGCGTGCTTTGCATCAAATCTGATGAAAGATTATAGGGAATTATTCGCAGCGACTTTCATGAGTTTAAATTACTTCTTGCTTCGACTACTATCGGACGATATGTTGAGATATCACGATAAATATCGAACGTATTTCAATATTTTCGCGTGTGATTTTATCCAAACAGAAAAACGTCATCAGCGGCGTAAATTGTGAAAGTCGCGTCTTGCACTGGCAAAATAACGACCAAAACAAAAACTGAAATCGATTAGTCCCAAGCGCGAAGCCTGCTCCATCCTTTCCCCAATCTCCGAATCGAATCAAGTACCGTGCTTGAACAAACTTACGGTGATATAAAGTAACGCCCAAAGAGGAAAAATAATCCGGTGCAGCAGCCACAGCCGCGATAGCTAATTGCATTCGTTAAAGTGGCCAGACTAGACCACGTTGGTGCTTTCCCTGCAGAACAAGACACGCTCCCTCTTTCTTTCTCTTTCTTTTGAATCATTTTATGTCGCCCCTTGCTTCTTTTTTTCTTTCTCCCCCTCAGCACGCTCTCTGCGCGGTCGGCGGGACTCGTCGCAATTTGCGAGAGTCGGTGCAACGGCGAGAAAACTTTCTGAAAAGGTATTACAAAAGTTTCAGATCAAATGAACAAAAAGCGGCAGAAGAAAATGGCAAAAGCGGTAGGACTAGTGGTGAATTACAGCATAAGGGTATCATTCGTCGGATCTCTTGACTTTCCTTGAGTCTCAAGATTCAAAGGTCCTTATTTTATAGAAAATGTTTCACAATCCTGATCGATATATTATTTTCCATATTAATGATACGTAACATGAAAAAAAAACGTTCTTAAAAATTTTCTCGGTTTATTTCGTGTAGTAGTTTATGTAGGAGGGGATCTCTAAGTGCTTTAATTCACCACAGAAAAGGAACAGAGAAAGAGAGAGAGAGAGAGCGAATAGGGAGAGTCGAGGGAGCGCGATATACGGCACGTCATGCGGGCGTTTTCGTTGCGTTTTATTGATCCGATACAGTCGTAAATGGTACAATCGGTAAGTTCATCGGCGATATAATCGATATAGAGTCATATGTATATATACACGTATGTACATGGCGCTGAAAGGCGTGCGTGCACGCGCGCGCGCGCTCGCAGCAACAATGCAATGCCCGGCGCAGAAATAACGCTGCCGGGTTATGGTTACATCGGAATACAACGAGAAATCGAGCGCATGAACCGAGTCTCCTCCTGTTCTTATGATCATCAAGATGTATATAAAGTCGTACAAAGTCGTAAAAAAGAACTAGACGAATGCGATGGAACGCGGAACGGGGATAAAAGAAGAAGAGTGAGGGGAAGAGGTGGAAGATAAAACGACGGAATGAGGGTAGGCAAACAAAGGGAAGAGATATTGGGATCGGATTTCTATCAAAGACTAGAAAAAACGTATACTCGATTCGTTATTGTACACTAAAGCCGCGGCAGCACTGTTTTATACACCTTATCTGTCTATACGCTTTAATACGGAGCCTTAACGCCTACAACGCGATTACACTTATACGTGTGTCGATATGGATAATAGGTGGACGATCGAGCGATCTGTGTCGATCGCGCGAGCAAGACGAAAAATCGCCCGGAGCGGAACGCTTCGATTCTTCGTCCTGTTGAGATAATTATCGGCCCTACCGTGACCGATCCTCCAACTTCTCGTCGTGGATCGCACCTCGTCAGCGTGCGATCGGAAGCTTAATGCTCTCGCGATTTCGGTCATTAACTATTTCAGCACCGAATTCAATTGAAGGCGCGAAATTCTGCCTCGGTCAATTTAATTCGGTGGATAGAAGAAATACGTTGTTCTCATTCTCCGCGAGACGAATCGACGAATCGTAATTATACTATTTTTACAAATATTTAGGAATTATAAAAGTGTATCCCTTTAAATAATGTTTCCTTCACGTAAAATTAAAAACTGTTTCGTTATAAAAGATATAAATATTCGCAAAAACTTTTCTAGATATTACCTTTACAGTCAAGCTGAGTCCAGATGCGTTCTTTAAAAAGTTCGATCATCGAAGATGAACGCATATTATGTGGCGGCAGAGTGCTAAAAAAGTTAATTACGCGATTGATGAAAAGTCACCGTGGACGGTGAGACCGTTCGGTTTCCTTAGTGGCTACTCGCGGGAGCCACCCCCGAAGAAGGCCGCCGGTTCAAGATCCTTCTCGATGCTCTCTGTCAGTTCTCAAGATGCTCTTGGCGCACTCGTTTCTACCATTTTATTCCCCAAAGTAAGAAGTTCCAAGAACCACTGTCCCGCGGGTAGAGTAGTATCGGGAGAGGTAAACGAAGCGATACCTTTTCCCCGCACTTCTTCCTTCATCAAACTCCTGAATTTCGTAAGATTCTTCCCTTATTCGTAACAATTCTGTGGACCTAGACGCGATTTCTCGACCAATTGATCGCTTCTACTCAAACACAGTCCTCGACAAAATTGGTGGTGACGATACTTGGCTATTTGCTAATGGACGTCTCTTTGCTTCCGAAAGTCGTTCCACTTTCGCTTAAGTGTCCGATAATTTCTCCGACAAATACATTCATTTTTAGAGCGTAAATTCGGACACGATGTAGACAGAGTTAAAATTAATTGATTGACCGCAGAAACACCGATCCTTAGCACAATACATTGAGTCTTCAGGAGAGAAAATATTTAAAAAGCATAGAAAAAGATATTTTCTTCGATTTGCTTTTACAGCGCGCGGTATAAATAGAAACGGGCTAATTTTCGGAAAAGGTATCGTTATCCTATTATTAGCCTCTTCGGTCTCCTAATGGGAGAGATTGTTTATGTGTCGCGTGTGCGTGAATTATTTCAGTCTCATTGGTTCTCTGGAAATAAAGGATTCTTCACTTTCTTCGAGTGATTTTAAACTGTGGCTTGTGTCGTAAATATCAACTTGATCGATATTGCCTGTGGTCTCGTTCGGCGGAATTATATTGGTCGTGCCGCCAAAAACGACGAAAAACTAGTCCCAATTCGAATTCGAATTCGAATCTTAATTCCAAGTTTCAGTTTCTCGCGAATCTAAAGAGTCAACCATTAATCCAAAGATTTGTGCCTCTCTCGGAAACCTTCTCGCCGAAGTTTCTGAACCTGTTGAATCGTTATTTCTCGCGGAGCTCGCTTACATTTAGACAAATAGAGGCAAGGCAAACTTTATCCAGATTAATATATCCTCAGGGATATTAAATTTTTTAATCGTAAATGTATAAAATTACGTCCGAGAATTTTCAATTAATTCTCATTTATAATAAACCGCATTATTTTTGAAAATAATTTGTAAACCATTTTCAAATAATTGCAAAATAATTGAAAAGAATATTGCCTCTTAGAGATTCCAAGGAGATCAATCACTATTTTCGTTTCGCCGCATAATTTCGCCAAAGAACCAAAGTTCGCATTAAGATCATCTTACAGCGTCTTGACATTTTGACGGTCGCTGTTACGTATTGGTTTGCACGGCTTCTCTCATATGTCTTTCATATGTCTATCTATTAATGTTAATGTAAATATATCACAGATAAAAAATAATTCTAATGAAAAAGGGATAAAATATTATGAGCTTTATAAGACGAAAGCTTCAATAATTTCGAAATGAAGAGTTTGACGATGGCGTTAGATGTGACTTAGAGACTGGCGCAATTAAACGTTTTGACGCGAAACGTACGACCATCAAAATGTCAAAGCGCACTATTGACGGCGCGTCGCATCAAGCAAAAGCATAAAAATTTAGACTACTATCACTAGTTCTAGTTTTCGGAGAATCTATCGATCAATTAACGTCAACCTCCAACGTCGGACTCTCTTCGACAATCTTCTCCAGTAATTGGCCCGACTCGAAATCCTTGCACCTATCGATGGCGCATGCAGTTGAGCTTAAGGGCGAGCCAATCTCCTGCGGCAGACCCCTCTTAAGGACGTTGAGGTACCCCTAGCTATGGACCATATCGCTGATGTACTCCTCGTGAAGCGCGAGAAGGTGACGCGGCACGTCCAGGGCTGTATGTAAGGTCACCGTGACGCCGCGATTCAGGCTAATCGCCGGATAAAATACGCCGTAGAGATCGCGAAAGGCGATCCCACCCTGCGGTTGATCGTTGACGAAAAAGCGCAGCGTGTGTGTGGTGTCTAAATCGAGAAGCACACCGACGGTCGAACCCTGCTGGACGCCACCCTCTGTCCGCTGAGCGTGACCGCCACCGTGCATGAACCACGACCGCTGGCGATCTATATACATGCTCCAACCTTTGTCGTCTTTACCTGCACAGACAGATGATTCGCGAGATTGCACGTCGCCTGATTTCAGAAATCATCGTAAAATAGTGGAATGTTAAAATGTTGGAAACGAAGTAACTAATTTCAAAGAATTTTGAATATACTGAAAATTGTTAGTGATAGCAATAATAAACGTGATTTGACTGACATATTGGTTTAACATGATGGAACAAATCTTCTCGGTTTTTCTTAAATAAATAATTTTCAACAGACAATCGATTATGGCACATTGCACAACCGCAATCTACGTACTTTCTGATTTCTCTCAAAATAAGAGGCGTTTAGAGGCAAAGCGAAAAAGAGGAAGGGAGGGAAGATGAGAGAGGAGGGAGAAAGAGAGAGACACACGTGTCTCTCGCTTCCGAATTTCTGAACAAACCAGGGATCTCCGGGATGTACTGGGTGGCGCATGAATATTTCATCGGCGCTGGATGAACCTTACATTTTCCTTTTCAGAAGCGAAGGAGAAGGAAGAAAAGAGGAGGACGAACAAGTGACAGACTTACCTAGCATCTGATCGCGCGACACGTCGGCCCGGGCGATGCCGAAGGCCGGATCGGTGTCACTGTGATATCGATCGATCGTCAGCTCCCAATAGTGCACACCCCGCGAGAAGCCGACGCTCGAGAGGACCACGCGATGCTCGTAGCCCTCGCAGGACGCGCTCATCGCGTCCTCGGATACAGACACCTCCTGTGGTACGCCAGCCGCGCCGGTAGCCCACGAAAACCACGCCACTGCGAGAGACCAGAGAGAGAGAGAGTGTTCCACCGCTCCGATTAATATTCCGCGGACTCGAATCCGCAAGCATGTTTAACGAACTACACACGATCGGGGTGCGTTGTATCGAGCGTCGGGTTATCGGGAATTCGACGTCGCCGCCGCACTTGATGTTAATAACGACGTGACAGGATTGTGGAATCTTAATACGTGAGAAGGAATGTGGAAGAGAGGAAAGTCTGATTTTCCGTGCGGCTAAATAATTTAAGAATTTAATATGAGAGTCAACGTGATGCAATTGTGAAATTGGAATGTGAAAGGAAGAATAGGATATTTTATCTTGAATCATTTAACACACTCTTTCACATATGGGATTTGTCGTGATGCGATTGTCCAAGTTTCGCGTTTAACTTCTGCCCAGCGAACTCGAAAAACTGCTACTCGACAAGTTGCGTATGCAAAAAAGATAAACTTTCTCTTCTTTTAACTATAGTTTCATAATATTTCGAAAAAAATATTATATAATTTAGAAGGAAAACTAGTTCGAAAATACGTGCGACAAAATCTGTATAAAAATGAGTGTTGGATGTTTGATCGTGATGTTGCTACTTAAAATTCGCCGTTCAAGATAATTGCACATCTTTCTCTATACTGTATAATTAAAGTATAATTAATATATTTATAATATAACATTGTAATGTAACGAAACTGAATAAAGAAGAAAAGGAAAAGTTTCTGAGAAATTTGCTTTTGAATCTGACGCAAAAATAAAAGTATCTCCTCAGAGTCATTTGTAATTGTCGCCCGTATTATTCCACGCTGCACGATAAACGTTCTATCGCGGCCATTTCTGCGCGTCCACCGTCCATCTCATCGATCACGCGATCGTGCTGCGGAAAAAAAGCACGTACGGCTGGAAAATCGACGTCGCTCACGATCGTTCGTCTTCCACGCGACACCGGCGCCAATTTTCCAGCCGAGACCTCCGCGCGCCTGGCCGAGAAAGTTGTAAAAAAGATGGAGAAACTCACCCTCTGCAGTTTGAAGGCCGATCAGCTCCGAGTATTCGCCCTCACCCGCGCTGTTGAACGCCCGCACCCTGGCATTATACAGCGAGTTGAAGTGTAGCCCATCAACTGTGCAGATGGTCTCCCGGCCACAATATACCTCCTGCAAATCATTACGAAAAATATTCATTAAATTTCTATTAAAGTATTCCAGTATTCTTCCTACCATACCAATAGCCTCTGAAACTCTCTTCGTGTAAAATAATAAATCAATAAAAAATTCAATAAAAATTGTAATCATTAAGAAACTTTCCCAATCACATTTATAAGATATTTACTTTATCAATTGTGTTAAATAATAGTTAAAATAGGATTGAAAAATATCCAACTCGGCTTGAATAAAAGTCTCTTTCACCACGAGTAAGCGTTGACGTAGGTCGTCTCAGTGGTGAACAGATGAGAATGGAGGATAAGCGGAGTTTACCCGTCATGTTGGCTTCTCTAAAAGAACCGTCAAGCTAGCATCGACTGACTAGCCGACAGATAAACATATAAAGCCGAAATACGTTATCAGATTTATATCGAAATAAAATGCACTGTCTTGTAATGCACTGGTGAAAGAGTTTGATTCAAATAATTCTTTTTCGATGGTTGCCTAAATGTATACTAGAATCTGCCAAAACTACACATCTTTCTCAAAATAAAAATTAAAAATTCTTGCATATAAATATAATAAAATTACAGAATAAGTAAATGTGTGTGTAAAAATTAATCTGTGACAAAATTAAAGTGAATCCTTTTCGCGCTTTGTATCCACAAAGTATTGCAGCTTTGTATAATATCTATCGTAAGCTCGAAGAATCCCGCAGAAACTCGGAAGCGAGTGCGAAAGGAAGGACGAGAAAACGGAAACCAGAAACCGGGAAACCTGAGGCGTCGTGCCGCGCAAACGAGCTCGATTTAAATATTAAGCAGAGAAGGATGCGCCGATCCCTCAATGGCCGCCAGGAGGTCCGACGCGATGGGTCGAAGCAAGGGAATGGTCAGGAAGGGCGAGGAAAGCGTTGACTAGGAGGACGATTTATATTCGCGGTATCGCTTCGTTCGTTAACGAGCGCCGTATCGCAACGCCGTCGGGTGCATTATTAACAAAGCATGAAAATTTAGACGCGCGATTTACAAGCCCAGCCTGGAGCACGTTCATGCGAACGGGAATTCATACGCGGCATGGCAACGTACGTGCTATTCTCGATTTTACCGCGGATCTAGCATTACATTCATGGCTCAGGCTATTTAAAGGGTGACAAGAATTACTATAATCTCGCGTGAAATTGCTTTAATAATATAATGTAAATACGTAATTTAGCGCGACGAAGAATAAATCAAATCTGATGTTCACAGTCAATATTAATAAACGATAATATTTTTGCACCACGTTCATGAGATATCAATATTTAAGTAAGAATTCCATCTAGCAATATTAAAATAACTCGGTATAAAAAAAAACCAAACTTTGTAATATCACGTTCTTCCACTTTATCTAACTCTATTTTCCTTCGCAATTGTGGAAGACAAAACCCTATAAAGCTGTACGACCGTCGTAGATTGCCGCACATTAATATCGTGGATTATGTGGCAAATGGCGGTTCGAACCACTGCCATTTGATAAAAACTTGTAATGCACGGAGCGATATCGCTATGGGCACTTAATAATCGCCGTCATCCAAAAGACTTGCTCATTTCTCACGTGTAAGTTCGGAATCCGGGAATTATGGATTTCAATTAACGCTCTTAATATCAAGCCTTTATTTCAAAGATAAATCTTCATTTTTAAACTACTTTTATATTATCATTTTATACGATGATTTCTTTTCTATGATTATCTTCATATGGAAAGAGAAAGAGAGGAACATAAAACATCAAAATCCATGCTAAGTATAATTTTATAATAGAGATAGACAATAATCGCCCATTTTGGACACCGCGGCAAAACAAGTTAATGAAGCGCATTAAACTCATTTTATTAGGTTCGATAATTCTCAAATTTTTCCAACTCGCACTTAAAATTTCGCCGTATCTTTTAATCCCGACTTTTATATTGTAGTTCGCGCCATTTAAGCTGAATTATTAGCCGTATTCTTTAGAAAAATCTAGTATTTTGTAGTATTAGTTTTAAATTTGAAAAAAATAAATAAAAAAAATGGCCGAGCTATTGTAGAATTTTAACGAGCGCATTTCGTGGAAGAACTTACTTCTTCTTTCTCTCGAGTTACACCGTCACGTTTAGGGAGTTCAACATGTACAGCCAATCTTTCAGAGTTTCCTACCACGTTCATACAACTTGTCTTTTTTCACTATTTTTACGCTATGAGCAAGTTTCTTTCGCTTGAGTGCAAGAAAACCTTGTCTTAACTTTTAGAAAGCAAAACTAGCGGATGAGCCCGCTAGTATCATCCAGCAGTAAAAGCAGTTTTAACACAATTTTAATATATTTTTAAATAAAATTCATCATATTTTATATTAAATCTATTTATCAATTTCACAAACGGATAAACATGAATTTGCTATTTTGCTTTTACAATAAAAGAACAACGTAAACTTGGAAAACGTTAAAACATCAAAGTGTCGCATTGTTAGATAAAGCCGTCGACGGGATGATACCGAAGGACCGAATGAGTGTTCGGTAAACAGACGAAGACGATGAAAGGTCCAACAACTAAAGTGTCATCGAAGAATTCGCGGGCAATCTCGGGAAACCCTCGAGATCCAAGTCGAGCGTCCGATAGCCCTGCCCGAAAGACGCAAGAGAAGAGGGAGAGAGGGAAAGTACAATTTCTTAGAGAATGTATGAAGTGTGTTTACTCACCCTAAACTCCCCGCCGCAGCCGTCGTCCAGCTCCAAGAGATAACCCTCGATGGCGGGGCCCCTTTGTCCGGTGCAGCCCATAATTCCGTGTCCAGGTGGTGGCTGCCAGGCAACGGTGACACTGTTGTTCTCAGCGCTACACTCTTCGGGGATCAGTAAGGGCGCACCGGGTGCTGCAAATGCATGCGTTAGAACAATTTAGTAGAGCTCCTTCAACATAATACTAGAATCATTATTAAATTTACGTTACTATGATAATTATTGATAAATATAATTTTCCAGTATCTGTGATAATACGGAAACAGAGAAGAATTATATATAAATAAATAGTCTTAAAAGCTTTTGTGATTGTCAAATTACATTTCTGAATCTAGAGAATAAGAGCGTAAGTTGAAAGGCCTGTGAAAATAAAATAAAATACATTCACATAGACGTTAAATGGTTTTATTGGTTCAATGATTTTAATCACTGCCGATCAATTTTAATATAATATGATTTGAAGCCGCATCACACCGAGTACTTGGCTGCAATCCGATTTGCCCCCGGCTTGCCGGTGATGACCTTCGGTGGCAATAATTTCACGATTTAAACGGACTACGACTGCCGAATTTGCTGCGAGTTTCCTAACGACAGACGGGATTTGGTCGTTGCCGCGCGACCGCACGATTCCGTTCGATTCTGACTGTCTAAGGTACAAGTTGAAACCGCGCAAATTACTCTGCACGTTCGCTATCCAGATTTCTACCCCGCAGAAATGTATTGAGTCGCCGGTGCGGAGCGCCATATATCTCAATTTGCCAAATCGATCGGAATACATAAGTTTCTTGATAAGACACTGGAATCGAATTCATCTTTCGCGCAAAAGTTCCAAGTTTAATGGATGGTCAATTTAACGGCCAAGTTTAATGGTCAATTTGCTATTCGCAAAGCTGTAATAAAGAAATGCATAATTAAATTAGAAACGTAATTTTAAAAAACAATTTTGATTAAAGAAATGTATTGCAATGCAAATAAAAGTCACTGAAATTAAAAAAATGGATTTCTCATTTTATACTATCATATTTTATGATATAACATTATATATAAAGTATAAAAATAAGTAAAATGTACATTTTATTCACTTTTATGCCTTAGAATCTTATATCATATCATATTTGATAGACCTTTAAAATGTACATTTTCTTTAATTCTAAGCATTGAAATCTTATATTTTGAAGATTTTGATTGTGTATAAATTTATGATATTGATAATTAACTATAAAATTTTTTACGGTTTTACCAAATTGCCAAAGTTTAATATGATTCATCCTTAAAATAGGTCGATACGTATCTAATACGAAAAATACTTCAATTGATTTGAGAAATGTAGATCTCTCTTTACAAGCGTTATTTTTATCATAAAAGAGTCATCATTCGCAACGATACTGATTACATTGGACCAAGCGTCCATTATAGATCACGCAAATATTAGAGATAGTCTGGGAGCGTTAATGCAAGCTGCACGGTTGGCCGCGATCGTTGATGCTTCCATACGCAATTATCTGGCTTTCAGCAGAAGTTGGCCGCGTCGCGACGCGAGTCGTCAGCCCGTTGGTTAACTTATGTGGCATGCTGATAAATCGAAAGCATTCCCTCTCGGTCCGCGTTGTCCGCTGTCCCATGCGGTTTCGTGTAAACTTATCTCAAAAGCGTTCTCGATGCGGTGTCCGTCGACTTCCTGTTCGTTTCGGTTCTCGATTCCGCATTTGCCGGCAGTATAATTCGATCGGGCGGTCGTCGCCGCGGCCGACAAATAAACACGCGCCAAAAAGACGAAAGATGGAAAAGGCCGAGGTTCGGCAAACTTGTGGAAAATTAAATAAAAAGGAAAATGTCCCGAAAGTTATTACAGTCTTTTCGCCCCATGTTGGTTGATAAATGATTGTTAAATCGTAAAAACTGTGACGTGTCGACTCTTTGATAAGATTGCTTTGTACAAAACGTCCCGCTTTCACCGCATTAGTTTTAGTGAAAAATTTCTTTGGTCCATTTAGCGGTTTATTTTTACTTCGTGACGATTTATGACAACAAATTGATCTCAATTCCAAATTGAATAAAGTCTATTTTATACAGAAAAAGAGCGCAGACGAGTCAGAGACGAGTAAACAATGAGGCGATTGGAATCGCAATAAAAGTATATACATATTTTTTTTTGCGAGACGAAAAACGAGAATTCAATGGCACCCCGTGCATTCACGTAAATGAAAAAGTACTCTCTTCGATAATTGTATAGTATAAAAACCGTGGAAGCTACGATATTGCACACAAAACTAATCTTCTTTCCGATTTCGACAAAATTGTCTCGTAAATTCAATAATGTGCCAAGCCGTAATATATTTGTTTCATGTACGATACACGAAAAATCACATTTTTTGCAAAAATATATAACTTTTTCATGTAAAAAAATATAATTTTTCACAGGAGGTTAAAAATATAATTTTGTATGAGGCTACTGGGAATGATGTTTTGCCTGCAACGTCAAGTGACACTTGACATGTGTACGCATAATTAACTGGCTTCATGCTTGATAGCGAGTCGTCAACGTATGCTTTAGAGAGAGTCGTTCCGCTCTACTAGGATCTCTGCGGCACTTCGCGTTATGAAATTAGGCTAATAATGGCACAGTTACATAATGCTATGCTTAACGATAAATCGCCGGAGATACAAGTTAAGATCGCGCGAGAAAGAAGTTCTTTATTTAAGTAATAAAAATAATGAATAACAATACTTATTTCTCTTTCTCGAATTCACAATGAGTACAGTTTAACAGTTTAAAATTTGTAAATAAACGTTTATTTTATTTGAAAAGATGTAGCGTAATTTCAAGAGTGATTTTTAAGAAAACTTTGAGTAAGATCGTGTAATTTGCGTAATATAATAAAGATTGTTTGTGCCGAATAGGAAACACACAGCAATGCGATGCAGAATTCTCGCTGTTGCATCGCTTATCGCGATACGAAAACTCATGTAACGTAAAACCTCGATGGACGTTCTTCATTCAAATTCCGCTATACCGCTCCGTCGTTTTATATCATCGGCGAGCTGGTTGAAGTTTGAAACGTACCTGGAACGATTTTTTAAAAATAATTTGTTGTATTTCTCCTTTTACACAGAAGAAATTCTGAGACACACGAAATACAAAAGAGAGACTGATCCGATACATCCCTGCGGAAGACACCCTTATACTCCAAAAATTCCATCCAAAATCACTTAAAACTCCTCTCTCTCCCTCTCCCTCCCTCTCCCTCCCTCTC